TGCCTCAATTCCATAACCCCCGGTTGGGCCAGGAAGCTGAGGACAGGCAGCCCTGCCCGCAGCCCCCCTGCCCGCATCCACCCAGCTCAGCGCTCGTAACGCCCGGGCAGGGCAGCGCCCACGCGCCAGCCTGGCAAACAGGGAGCAGGGCGAGACAGGGACGAGGAAAAAGCCCCGCTCTTGCACCTCGTGCAACAGCTCCTGTCAGGTGGATGCCAGCTTCCTCCCACAACAGATGCGGCAACAGACTCCGGCCCAGCAGAAACGGCTTTATTTCAGAACCTCGTTATTCCATCCATAACGCTCCCTAGCACAAATCTCCAAGATAGGGAGGGGTCTCTGCGAAACACAGCGCGGTCAAGGATGCTCCGGGAGAGCCGCCAAGACTCCGGATGCCGGGCGAGGAGCGATGCGAGTGGTATGATGCAACCCTGGTGTAGTGAAATAGCCGGATAGTCGGATGCGCTTGTCGTCGGCCTGATTCACAACACCAGCTGCAGCACCAATACCAGGGCTGTCGGGCGCTGGGAGCTGCAAGCGGGAGAGCGGAGCTCTGCGGCGCGGCCCTCCAAGCCCTCCGCTGACAAGCAAAGAGCCGCCACGCTGCTTCCGCAGGGGCTCTCCCTCGCTGCCGGCTGATCCCTGGTCCGCGCTGGCTGTTAAATGCACCCGGAATCGAGTTAGGCAGAAAATGGCACAAAGCTCTACGTGCAGCTTCTTCTGAAGTTTGCCAAAGCGCTATATTCTGGCTTTATTATCACTTGTCCTGTTTCCATCCCCATGGGAGAGGGAACCTACCGCCCTGGGTGACACTGGCCACGCAGACGACACGGGGGCTCAGCCCTGCCAACCCACCGTGCGGAGCGGGGCTCGTTCCTCGGCGCCGCGGGGAAGGGAGCCTGGGAAGAAACAAACAGACAGCGATGGAGGGCACGTACTCAAGCGCTGTCCCCCCGCAGAGACACAGACCTGGAGTTAACGATACCGCCTTCTTCCCTCCCGGCTGGAAGGGAAACAGCTCACTTGAGAGGCTGGGATTTATTTAAGTTGGGGAGACGTGTTTTGAGAGGGGAACAGGAACAAAAACATTCATTAAATTTCGTTTTTCTGAAGAGAATTCCTTCGGTTCCTGCATGGAACAAGGCCCAAGTGCTGTCTTGGGCAGATGCCACAGTGGTGGGAGACCGTGGTGAACGAAGGAGCTGCCTCATTTAGCATTTGTCTGGAAAACAAACCACAACATCAGGGTGGAGATGCAGAACCTGCAGTCGGTGGGGAAATCCAAGAGGAGGAGGGGGAGGAAGGCACCGGGCAGGCTGCAGGCAGTAACCTGCCTGAAGACCAGGCACGCAGCGGGGTCACGGCGCAGGCACCGCTGCAAAAATACTGAGAAGAATTCACGTTGTTGGGAGGGCGATAAAAAGCCCCGCGAACACCAAAGAAACCGGGCTGAGAAGACAGGCCCCACCGCCACCAGCCCACAGCAGCGTTCCAGAGGGGCCCTGAGGCACGTTTCAGGTGGTTTTTCTGCTTGTCAACACCTGCTACGTTCTCACATGAGCTGGTTGGCTTCCCTAGCTCAGTTGAGTTTCTACCAGTAGCCCACGCTTAACCCTGAGGGCAGAGGTTTAACTTGTTTTTTTTCCCCTCCTGGGCAGGTAACGCAGGGCAGGAGGTCACAGCAAGCATTTCCAGACTCCCCTGCAGCTCCCCTCCAGAGCCAGACCACAGCGACTCGCACCTCGCCTGACGGACAGGCAGAATACGAAGCCTCCCGGACCGCTACGCCCACACCACAGTGCTCAGGGACGTTTTGTCACCGATGAGCCGTGCAAGCTGTGGAAAACGGACCGGGATGCGCTGCATCTTGCAGCTGCGGCCGTACCGGGACGGAACGCCACGTGCTCCCGAGGCAAACATCTTACTCTTTCCTCAAATCTCCTCTAGCACCCCAAGCTGCTTTTGACTCCAACTAGTGAGCCACCGTTAGGATGCACCTCGAGGATCTTTATTACTGAGAATTCGGCCCAGAGGAGGGAAAAGTAGAGGGAATTACCGTAAATTTGATCTGCAGCATTCATCTGTACTTTTTTCTCGTACAAAGAGGGAGAGCTCCGCTGACTTAGAGAAGATTTGTCAGTTTATGGTAAGAATAAATTCCGCTCAGAGGAGCATCCCCAGCTCTGCTGCAGACTGCGCCTGGCAGACTACAGACGCTCCGACTCGCTCGTTATCAGGATTTCCCATCTGACCTGCGCGCAGCCATCCACGCAGACTGAAGCCCTTCACGCCAAGGAAAACGGGGGTAGCTCTCGCTACGCCTGTGACAGCACCACGCTGTAAAAGCGAGCACCGCTCCCTGTTGTAAAGGGAGTGCGTAGTGACACCCCCTTTGAGCACGCTGCTCCAAACACGACGTCAGAATTCAGCGACATCCCAGAAAGCCCTTCTGGCAGATGAAATACTTTGGAACCCCAGGCCCAGCCCGCACGTTAGCAAAGTCAGAGTGCGACAGCACAAAGGGTTAGGAAGCTCGCTGCAGCAGCAGTGGGTCTGCCGGCCAGACACCCACGGGAGCAGAGCGGCGTTGTTCTCTGCAGCAGCGCAGGGTGACATCTGGACAGCCCCGGGGTGGCTCACTGGGCGAAGCCCCAGTGCGTGTCGGCATCTACCTCAGCGCAGCACAGCCCCGACACGCGGTGCGGAGAAGAGCCAGGTTTGCCAAAGCCAGGCCTAGGCGAGGAGCCGGAACCCACTGCTCTTGGGAACGCGGGAAGACGGATGGGCTGCAACGTTCACAACCTGCACAGGAGCAAGCAGAAATCACAGGGCAATCAACAAGAAATAATTTAATTCCAACTACCTGTGGCACCTTCTGGTACACCCACAGCCTCCCACGCCTTGTCTGAAACAGGGCTGGGCCTTACCTTTCCCGAGTTAGCCCCCGGGCTTGGACTCCTGGGGGTTTATGTCCTCTGTCCATGTATAGCACACGAAGGACAACCCTGGCTTTTCAAAGTTTGAAATAATTCACTTTCTGTTTAGCTCAGAAGGGGCCAGAGGCTGGAGTCACAACCGCCGAGCACAAAGGCAGCCAACTGCACACAGCCATCCATTTTCTCTTTTGCCAGCAGCCGTGAAGGCTGAGGAGCCCTGGAAAGCATCTGCTGTAGCCAGCCTCCGGGGACAGACAGGAAAAGGGCAACTTGCTGTTTTTCAAAGGTGCCTAGGCTCAGCGTTTGAGATCAGAACCACGCCAGCGAGGCAGCACGATAGCTCAGCTGAGCAGGGGACAGGAGCAGCAGGTTCTGCGAACGGCAGCGGTGAGGGCTGTGCCCTGAAGGACCCTGTCCCTGCAGTGAGCGGGGAAGGTGGCCTTCACCCTCCCGAACAGGCTCCGGCAGATGCTGTCCCTCTCTTGCTCGGGTCAGTGGGTGCCTGAGGACAGGTACACACTCGGCAGCCTCTCCGCATGTGAAGGGGTTTGATGCCAGGAGTAACTCGGGGACGGGGGGCGAGGGCAAGCCAGAAAAACACCGGCGCGGGGTGATCCTGCGGGTCCATACGGGGGGCAGTTCCGGCCTGAGCAGCACCGCCTGCCAGTGTCAGCAAAGGCGTCTTGCTCTGCCACCTACCTTTTGCTCACCCGTTCTCACCAGGTGAGATGGATCAGATGAATTTTCAACTGATAGACACCAGGAAGCATTCCCACATGAATATGCCAAGAAATGTTATTATCTAATAACGCTTTCCACACTCACCTGGTGACATTTGGTTCGGCGATTCAATCCAACTCCTGCTCCAGGAGCACTCGGGGCCGCACGCGGTCCCTAGCTGTATTAGCTGGGAGCCCAGCAGCCAGTTGGCTAACGCCGAGACACCGGGGTCTGGGTGGCTTGGCAAGCCCTCCCTTTGCTTCCTGTCCAAAAGGCTGACAGAATTTATGCTACAGCGTTTCTGGTGGAAAAAGTAATTAGGAAATTATCATCACGTCAGTCAAACGTCGCTCTGTGCTGTTAAACTTCGACATTGCGAAATGGAGATTCGTTCTCTCCCGTGACAGCTATTGACATGCAAAGGCTGAAATGTGCCCCCACGCTGCGTTGCCCACTCTGTACCCGGAACCGCACAGTTCTCCTACCCCAGTAACACAAACGGCGTGAGGGCAAGACAGCAGCGGTGCAGAGACGTGTAATCACCAACACTCCTCCCATTGCAAAGACAGGCAGCTATATTAAAGAGAAAGGCTTGTAATAGAACATGCTTCCTGGGCTTTCACACCGATTTAATTGTAGCTCCAAACATTTAAAGGTAACGATTTTTTAATGCCCCTCACTTCATCGCGACTCAGGTTGCCCACCAAACCAACAGGAACATCCAGTAACGCACCCACACTTGGGCTTCTCTGGTCAGCCTCCTCACCTGAACTCGACACGGGATCACCCTGAAGGCAACCAGCCCCAAACCCCGTGTATCACAAAAATCTCTCCTACCAAAACATGCCTGCTTCCAATCCCTGCTGCTCCTGCAGCTGCTTCAGCGGAGCTCCAGGATTTGCAGAGCTGTGTACATCCGAGACACTGACCCAAGAGTCTACACGTCGTGAAGCGTAAATGAATCTCTGCCGCGCGCAGAGCTCGTCTGCGCCACAAACACACAGGCCACACAAGACAACGCTATGGACTGACAGGAGGGTGTCACACATGGGGTACCATAAACAGATTGTCAACATTTTACATGCATTCAAAAACAAAAAAAAAACCACCCTGGAATTTCCACGCTGTATGTCCAGCAAGCATTAAATTGAAGTTCTTCTGCACTTCCGCTACAGAATTGCTCATTCACCTTCCTACTGCAGATCTGACTTCTTTCTCTGCGTAGCTCATTAAGAATAACTTTCTAAATACAAACCAATTCAAAATAAAATGAATAAAAACATAAAAGCACAAAAATCAGTGAAAATGAAAATGTCAAAAAACAAATAGAAACCAAAGCAATTTATTTCCATCAACAAAAATACAGAATACAAAACGACACTGGTCCCACCCTCTGAGCGTACTAAAGCCAGGCATGGGGTGCTGCAGCCCCTCGCGTACGCCTCTCTGCTAATTCATAAGGACCTCCATCTGCACCAGCCTGGCGTTCGTGTCTCCCGAGGTTCGGTAAGGGATCATTCCAGCAAACGTTATCAGCGCACGAGCTTGAGATCGAAGTTGCTAAAAACCAGAAAAATAAAGTACAGTTATGTTAGTATCAAAAAACCCACAGTGAAGGCGGAGTTAGACATGAGTTAACCACTTGTCTTTTCAACCAAGCAAATGGAATCTTTATTTCTCAGAGCTGCTCTCTGGGTAACGTATCTCCGCGTTCGGAAGGAAATCCGACTGCTTCCTTTTCCAGCCATTAAAAGCACATCAAGTTACTCTCTTGCTTTAAACCCCCCCCCCCCCATTTATTTAAAATTACCAAAGAAAAAACATTTTCAACAACGTGGGGCGTTGCTGTACCGCAGCAATCCTGTAATTTCTGCGTCAAGTGGGCTTTCCCACAGCAACAGGATTCTTTCCCACCTTTCAGAACATAAAGCCGACCCTGCCAAACTGCAGCGTTAACATTCTCCAAGCAGAAGCACCAGAAACCAACTGGTGGTGCCAGACGCAGCTGGAGGTCTCCAGCATCACCTCTGACATACTGACATCCTTAGAGGCTCTCCACTCCATAACGCAGCAAAGCTAGATGTACCAAACACATTCAGAGACCTTCACCTCAAGTAACCAAAGCCCTTTGTGCGCACCAGCAGGCTATGTAACAGCTGAAGAAATTCAGGAATAATTTGTTCCCGTTGTTCAAACAATTAGTAAACTGAAAGGAAAATCATTGCAATAACCAGCAGAGCTCTGGAGCATATAGAAAGCCTGAATCTTTCTGGGAAATTGTGCAGACTGACTGTTTTGATTGCTCACGGTGTTTTTTTCTTAATTATTAAGCATCTATAAGTTCCTGTACCAGAAGATCCCACCGTTCAAATCCTCCTTTAACCCACCGACTGCAGGGAAAGCTGAAGTGGCTTTGGCTGCTGCGGGCAGGCGGATGGTAAACCTGACAGCATGAACTTAAAAACGGAGAAGCGACCGAAGGCCCTTGCACGGCTGGGAGCAGCTACAGACACCGTCCCCGAGGCCGGTCCGAGCAATCCTACCCCCTTTTCAGGGTGATGTTAGGTCAGTCGTTCATTCTTTGGCAACAGACAAGCTTCAGAGGCCAACAACGGAAAAGCCGGGATGCTAACCTGATGTTTGTTTCAAGACACTGTCTAAATGCTCCTGCTTCAGCTGTGCAGAACACCTTGCACTTCACACGTGGGGCAGGAAAGCGAGTTTTCCTTAGCGCTGAGATCACAGCCATTTAATTTTCCATTTCTATTCCCCCATCTGAAGCAAAGCCGTGACTGTCTATGAAGCCCAGTGGCCTGGCTGAACCACAGAGCAGAGTTGCCGTCTCGCGCTGCGTTCCTGTCTGGCCCAGGAGGATGAGCGCCGGGAGCTGCAGACGCACGGCCAGCAATGCCGTGGGCAGCACTCCTCCCTTCCCCAGCGCCGCGGCCGAGGAACGCCAGCAGGCAGTGCAGCACAGCAGCGGGCCGCTGCAGCAAGCGGTGGAACCAAGACTGACTCAGTGGCCAAAAGCTCCCAGGACAGCTTCCCGAGCTGTATGGTACCACCGAGTCAACACCGGTGTACGGGCTACTTCACAAGGTAGCCTGGAAATTACTCCTTCAGTTCTAGTCACGGTCGACGCTTGTTCTAGTCTGCTTCCAAACCTATTACACAGCGAGGTCGTGTAGTTACGTCTCACACGCTACGTTTCAGTGGAGGTCAAAACAGGTAGTAGATAAAATAAAGCATGTCTGACTCTTCAGAATTAAAATATTAACAGGCAAAACTCTTACTGTGACTACGAAAGACTTTGGAGCAGTTTGAGTTACTGTTCCCCTTACCCGTTCGGCAGCAATGATACTACAGCCAGCCTATTTTTAAAAATCAAAACATGACAGGCTGCAAGCAGCAATACTTCAGGAAGAAAGTCAGAGGTTTGCAGAGGTTAAGAGCAGCCTCGAGGTCTAGATGTTCTATTGGCTGCAATTACTCAATGAATGTTAGAGTTACTTGTGATTTAAAATAAGACCACAAATAAAAAGAAAAAAAAAGAATTCCATTCCTTTCATGACCTAATTTTGCCACCAGGATAACACCCTTGGGCTGCTCCAGAGAGTTCACCGCCCCGGATCGGAGCAGGGAGCATAGGACATTGCTGCCATGCGCTCACGGTGTCTGGGTCGGGGCTGTCACTGCAGCCACGGCTGTACTGCGGTCCCGGCTCACTGCAATCTCTGCTTGAAATCTGACAAAATGGATCGGGCCAAGCGGGACAGGACCGCTCCCTCGCTCCCAAAACTAATTAATATATATACATTAAAAAAAAAAGAGACTCAAAACACAGCTTAGATAATATCATTCTGAAATAAACAAAATGCATAAACCCCAGGCCTGACTCTGAACCTGGCCGTTTCTAAATAAAGCCCAGTGCACCTCGGAAGCTCGACAGCAGACGTTCTAGCAGAGCACGTCACCGCATTCAGGGGGCTCGGAGGGACAGCTCCTCTCCACCCTGCCCTTGCCGCTGGGTCCACGCCACTCCTGCCACAGCCCCTCTGCTCCCCACCCGCAGTCAGCAGACCGGTGCTTGGCAGCAGAGGGCAAACTCCCGAGCCACGTGCTCCTGCTCTGGGGGACTCCGTTCTCTGCTACACGCAATAAGCCTCAGGCTTACAAACAGATACTATCTCGCCTGTTCACATTCTCCTGATGAACAGAGGGATTTGAAGCTGTCTGCTCTGATGGATCTAGAGAAAACCCAGGGATGTCAAAGACCTATTCGAGGACAGGGCATTTTTCGCTTGTGCTGTCTACCAGGCAAAGCGCTGAGATTGTTAAAGCTTCTGGAAGAGTCCGTTTTTCCCTAAAATTTGCTTCCCTGTGGAAAAAGAAGCTGCCTTTCTCCTAGGGAAGTTCAAACAAAAAATTATTTTCAAACACAGCCTGCAGAAGATCATACCTGCTGTCTCTGCTCAGGTGAATGGGGGAGATTCTGCTGAAGGAACACCTCTCTTCTCACGTTTGAAATGCCTCGATTTCTTCCCATCTCTAAAATCCCCCGAGCTGCTTCCCAGACAGGGGAACTGGAACGATCCAGATTCCCTCCTCCCGCAGTCTTGGAGGAAATTCTTCAGGGTATGAAAAAAGGGCTAAAGCTATTCTTATTCTATCTTCCACGTGCCCACGGCTGGTATTTCTCTGCGCACGCAAATCATCAAGGCAGCCAGGAGCTACAGGTCTGTCCATTTCTTCTCTCTAGCTACCCTCACATTAGGAGACTTCTGCTCCCTTCTGACGTGACAGTCACACAGTTTTCCCTTACCACCTCCCCGACTGCAGAGACAGCCAGCACTTGTCCCCTCTGATGGTTAAGCACAGCTTTTATCACACATGGCAGCCAGAGATCCATGACTTGGAAAGCCTGTGTCTCCAACACCGATACCCTGCTGCCATGACATCCCACCACAAGGCCAGAAGGTTGACTAACAAAACTTGAAGCCTGGAAAAAGAAAGCTTTCAAGGGTTTTTAGCAAGGCACATCATCAGCTGATCTCCACAACTGTAACAGCACGAGCGTGCAGAGCACGTTTATGAAGCGCGCCCATGCTGAGCACACTGTTGATCTGATACGATGTCATGGTGGCTTCCTTCTACACTAACTCCTGCCAGCAAAGCTGCTGATCCCATCGCCAGTCAGCCCAATGATCTTTGGTAGGCCACGCTCATGGCACTCATACTGAGACGACACCTGACAGCATTCCGCCCCTGTGGAAGTGGTAAATGCTTCTACGCAAGGCACAAGGCTGAAATCACACCACTGAAATAAATGGCTCACTTGAAAAGCAAGGGGCTAAGGCTGTCTGCTCAGCGCCAGCCCTGTGAACCCACAGAGCAGGTAACAGGTTGCGTTGGCCTGGGACTCCTTCACACGTGGGGAACTCAAGGTGGGAGAAGTCCAAGCAGCATGCATCCTTCTCCAATGTTGCCGATCTAGCGTCCAAGCGCAGTGGCAAGGCAGAATCCCACAGCTCACACACAGAGACTGCACCCCAAGGACAAAAGCTGTATCATTACTTGAGCCTTTCATTTTCTGATGTAATTTAGAAATGCTACTAAAACTTTTACCAATATTGCAATTTACAGATCAAAGGCACTTCTGCAGCTGACCAAAGCCTGGAACGAAGCTGGCTGTGGCCCAAGTTGGTTTTCATTCTCAAAAGGAGTTGATATTTATTTCCTAATCTGTAAGACGCGATGAGTGGTTTGGCCTTGGTTTTCAAGCGCCTGTGGCAGCTTTAACATAGTAAGAGCTACAAGACCAAACTCAACAACAGCTAAGCTGAGAACCCTTCTGCTGAACACAGCACGCTGACGGGCGAGTGCCCGCAAATCTGGCTGTGCCCTTGAAGTGGTGCCTATTCTGAGGCTTGCTAAGGCGTAGGCTCCTGTCAGTGGCTGGGGGAAATGCTTCAGCACCGACTCCAGCAGTGCAGTCAAACCTGCTGCTGTCAGCCACTGAAACCAGGCAGCCAGACCAAGCACCACCGCGCCTGGAAGCTGCCCACTCTGCTGCAGAGACAGCAGAACAGCACTGGCAAACTGTTACAGCCACTCACCAAGTGAATGTACTCGAGCACCTCGGTGCGTTGCCCACAGACACTTTCAAAGTTTCAGCCCACGTCACTACAGAAGCAAGCCAAGTAGAGGAGTCAAGGCAGGCCTCTCCACCAGAAACCAGTTTTGCACAAACTCACTCACTAACTCCAATGAAAGGAGAAATCAGGTCCTTGAAAAACAACAGCTCAGTTGTCAAGAGAGACACTGCACTGTCCACATCTGTTAACTACTTAAGATCCCATCAAGAAGCAAACCGAACACTCATTTTCTTGTGCTAGGAGGTAGATATATAGCGTAATCATCTTAATTAGCTCAACGCCATTTAAAGAAATGTCCTTTCTTTACACAAAGCTGAAGTTATGAGAGGCTAGTCTCAAGACTAACCGAGCAAGCTGAGTAGTCTAAGACTCTAAATGACTGAGCACATAAAAAGTGAAGACCGTTAAAGATTCACAGTTATTTCCCTGCTTGAAATCAGGGGGAAAAAGGAAGTAGGAAAACTTGTCAGACAGCGAGGATTATAGTCTTACCGAATCTCTGTCTTCCATTACTCGCTGGGGTCTGGCAGGAGTGGCTGGGCTTGTGCCTTTCATCCTCTTATACTGGGTGAATAAAATATTCATGGTTGCAAGCAGGACCTCAGATAAATTGTGCCTGATCTACACAAAGAAAGGAAAAACAAAAGACATATTGCAGTGAAGAGCTGGTTGACAGAATCATTACCCTTGCTATAGGACATCAGAAAACCAAGCAGTGATAACTATGGTTGATATTTCTTCATGTAACAGTCGTACATTTAATGGTTACCCCTGCTGTGACTGCACCACCTGGCAAAAAAAGCTACCCAGAGTTTTGGGACAGACACACATAATGGCTGCGCCTTCACGTTCAGCAGCAACAGTTCAGATAAAACCCAAAGCGCCTGAAAACAAAAAACTGCAAAGCACTCAAATCAAACACTGTCTGAAAGAGAAGCATCACCCTCCAGTTAAAACAGTTCAAGAGCAGTAACAGCCTTCCAGCCTGCTTCACACGCTTCATCTGCTAATACCCAAATGCACAAGCTCCTCTAATTTGGAGGGAAGGAAACACAAGACCCTACAAATGCTCCGTGACGACTAAAAGCACGGAAGAACTAAGTCAGCAGCACAGTTGAAAGTTTTCAATATTCCGAATTCTTGACTCAAACTTAGGAAGTTCAGGAAGACTCAGATCTGCAGATGCCTCCTGCAAAATGGAGACAAGATTTCTGAGTAGGGAACTCCAGTGCTCCAAAGAGCAGCGCTAAGGAGAAAAATTTGCAAGCCAAGAGTCTACTTGTACGAATGCAAAATAATTCCATCCTATTTCCCCATAAAATCATAAGAATGATGAGACAAGAAGGTTTTAAGATATTCTTAATAAAACAAAAGGCTTTTGGAAGCTAAAATCCAGAGACATTACTCACCTCATCGCTGAAATTGCGGAAGGCAGCAACTCTCTCCTCGACACAGTCTTGGCTAAGAGGTACAAGCTTTAGCCGTTCAATAATCTTCAAAAAAAAAAAGCAAGCAGGAGGAATCAGGGTAGATAATCAACATTCTATGTACCACATACTAATAAAGTATGTTTTTTGAAGTGTTAATGAAATGTTCCTGATTCAAGAGAAATCACTTCATTGTTATTTATTTGTTTATCTCCTCAATTTGTGGAGCAGCAGGAA